GGGGGGCCCGCGCCTGCTCGCGCCGGGGTGTGAAGGTGTGAGCCGCTCCTTCCCCAGACTTTGTTTTTGTTCAGCGGAGGGAAGGTTCCCATCTTCTGGCCCGACCCGGGAAGTGAGGTGGCCGGCGTTAGTCGCTCGCCGGAGCTGCTCCGGGGAAGTCCCGGCCTCATTCCGTTTCTCGGCAGCGGGGCCGCGGGAAGAGAAGGTGCGACCCGCCGGGGGCCCGGAGCTCGCGCCCTGGGTCCCGCGCCCCACCCAGGCTGCGGCCGCGCGCGGAGGAAGCGCGTAAAGGTTGAGCGCAGTTTCCCCTTTTGCTTTCTCGTCAGAGCGGCCCCAGCAGCCTGGGGGCGGAATGCCGAACTTCAGCTCGGCGGCGGCCGGGAGCCAACGGGGTTAAAACCCGCGATCCCGCCGCCTCCCGCCTCGCTCCACCGCCGCGCCGCTCGCCATGGGCAGCCGCGATCACCTGTTCAAAGTGCTGGTGGTGGGGGACGCCGCGGTGGGCAAGACGTCCCTGGTGCAGAGATATTCCCAGGACAGCTTCAGCAGACACTACAAGTCCACGGTGGGAGGTGAGACGGGGCGGGCAGGAGGCCGGGACCGCGGGCTCGGCGGCGGACTCCAGGGGGGTGGCAGCTGGGGATTTGCCGTCGCCGGGTCCTTCCTCGGGTCAGGAAGTGGGTGTCCGGGATCCCAGAGGGAATAGTTGCCGGGCGTCCGGTTTGCATGCCTGTTGGCGGTTTCCCCGGGTAGGCTTTCCCAGCCCAAGCTGACTGCCTGGAAGGAGATGGGGGCGAAGGTGTGAAGATGAGACGTGGGGAAGGGAGGAGGGGAACGTGAGCGAGTGCGTTCCGCGAGGGAACGCTGACCTCAGGCCCCTTCCTCCAGGCAGCCCTCCGAGCGGTCACGGGCAAATCTCTAGGACCAGCCGAGACAGCTGGGACCCCGTGGAGGGCCCGGTGAGATGCCAGCTGGGGCCGCTGTCCTGCCTGGGTGAAGGAGCAGAAAGGCATTTAAGCTGGCCTGGCTTTGTTTGGGGGGGTGCCTGCGTGGGAGAGACGGGAGGCCACGCAATCGGATGCTGATCAGGGCTGATGAGCTGTGTGTTTGTTGTCCGTTGATTGCTTAAATAAAGGCAACCTAGGAATTCTTCAGGAATCTGAAATACACCACTTTTCTGGCCTATCTTCCCACCCCCTTTTCTCTCAAACTGGGTTAGGGAGGAAGGAAGAGAACACCTTAAGAGTTCATTCGCTTCTTTCTAGGTGTAATCTTTGGACTGTTTTTTTCAGAAGTAGGAATGCCTTTTTGTTAATAGGAGATGCTTAGCTGGGCAGAGCTGGCAAAGGGGGAGAGTAACAAACGTTTATCTCCATTAAAAAAAAACTTTTGTTTTTAAAGGAAAAATCTTGCACAAATGTAAATTTTGAAAATGTGTGCTGGTATCCCTTACGGAATTTTAAACTGTTAACAAGCATTTACAAAGCAATTAAAACAATCCTCTGTAAGAACATCCAGCAAAATAAAGGTTTAAAGTTTCAAAGCCGGTTGCCTACCCACTCTGCCCCCTACACACTCATACATAATTTGAGGGTCCCTGTTTCATGGATTTAGTTTAAAAGTGTCCCACTAGTTTTTAGCAATTGCTCTGGTTTTCCTTTAGTAAAGAATATAAGTGACTCTGGCTAATTTTTTTTCAGTGTTTATTCTAAATTTTTCCTAGCTTTATTTTTGTCGCAGATGTGGAAGAATATATTTTCAAACCTCAAAAATATCCTATTTCTCTCCTTACCCAAAAGCCCTTCCCCTGGCATTGAGCCTTAAGTCGTGGGTCTCAACATCTGCATATGTTGCAGTGGGTTCCTGCACAGCTCTTCAGCATCATCCATGCAGTGGCTTCTTTCTAGGAATCCTCTGGGACCTTGTCACTCTGTCCCATTCCTGCCCAAGATAATTCCTACAGCCTCTTGGAGGTGTAGACTTCCCCAAAGGGTGTGTCTTTATCATAATGCAATTGGATTAGAAACCAAGAGTGAAATTGAATGTAGAAGAGGCAAAAGCCACCACACTTACTTCATTTCCCCCTTGTACTCTATCACCCCTTCCCTGAGAAAACCCCCTAAATCTCCCAGAAACTGTTGAACTTGAGATTAGTAATTGTTTTCATAATTACCCCTACCCTCCTATCTCCAGCCTTAGAGACAAGTAGTATCAAATAAATTGGTTTGACAAGAGAGTAAAAGCTAAAGACTCCCATCTGAGAGTGAGTATGAATGAGCTGTCCCATCCTTAACATATGAGTGAGTGTGAACTCAGCTCATTGAGGGCCTACAAATTAAATGAATAAGTAAATAAATAGGAGTTGTGTATCCGTAGTGTTGTAACTGAATATTTGATCTGAGGTTTTCCGTGGATTGTTTAAAGATAAATTGTACTCAACTCTATTATACGTATATTTTCAGTGGATTTCGCTCTGAAGGTTCTCCAGTGGTCTGACTCAGAGATTGTGAGGCTCCAGCTGTGGGATATTGCAGGTAGGCTGGGAAGATTGGTTAGGAACAAAGGAAGAAGTTTTGGCTTAACCTGCTAGCTCCCAGAGAAAAAGTGGGACAGTAAAACCAGAAATTTTTTCTTGAAGCTGGAATGATTGAGCTGTTCTGAGGATGCATGAACTGAATAGACATAGAACTTTTGTAGATGTTTTCTGCAGATGTCTTGCCCTGAATAAATGTAAAGTAGTCTCTGTGTGGGTGGAGGGGCTGGCAAGGTGGTGGATTGTCCAGGCCATAGGTGGATGCTCCCCCAGCAGGGTGAGGATACTTTGTCTAGGTTTTCAGCTAACTTTGGTGAGAAACAAACTACCCAGAAAATAGAGACAATAATAATAGCTGTTAATGTGTCAAGCACTATTCTAAACATTTCAGATTCACCGACTCATTAATCCCAGCAACGACCCTATAATAAAGCTACTGCTTCTGTCCCGACTTTACAGATGGGAAATATTTAGCCATTGAAAGCTTGACTTGTCCAAAGTCACACAGATGGTAAATGATAGAGCAGGGATTTGGACTTGGACAGTCTGGGTACAGAATCTGGACTCACCCACCATCCATACTGCCTTCTCTCCCACAACGAAGGTAGAAAGGGCAGGGTGTTGAGGGGGTTCTGGGACTGATTCTCAGGATCACCTTCTAGAGAACTCTCCTCTCCTCCCAGGGCAGGAGCGCTTCACATCTATGACACGACTATACTATCGAGATGCCTCTGCCTGTGTTATTATGTTTGACGTTACCAATGCCACTACCTTCAGCAACAGCCAGAGATGGAAACAGGACCTGGACAGCAAGCTCACACTGCCCAATGGAGAGCCTGTGCCCTGCCTGCTCTTGGCCAATAAGGTACATGGTCAATCTAGGAAAATGGCCCCTGGCCTCAGTCTGTGGGGGGAGAGCAAGCTATCCAAAATGCTCTTGGTTGCTTGTTGTCAAAGAGCACCTTCCCTTCTCAAGCTGGCAGAATCATCTCTACCTCCTTTCAAGGGATGTTGAAACGTTCTTTGGGAGGTTCCTTCCCTTTGAAGGGAATGTGGAATGTAGATTTTAGATGCTGCTGTTCTTAGCCATTGGTGGAAAGGTTTTAAATCCACAGATCTCTGAACTGCGTTCCTGTTCCCAGGGAGTTTATGATGTTGCCCTTTTTACTGTCTTTGCCAGTGTGATCTGTCCCCTTGGGCAGTGAGCCGAGACCAGGTTGACCGTTTCAGCAAGGAAAATGGGTTCACGGGTTGGACAGAGACATCAGTCAAGGAGAACAAAAATATTAATGAGGCCATGAGGTGAGTCGCTCTGGGCACACAGATGTACCCTTCTTCCCTTTGCTTGTTTCTGAGCAAATAGGAACAGACTGACCACTGGAATGCCAGCTTCTGAAGGTCAGGGATGCTGTCCTCTTTCCTGAGATGACTGGGGACAAACCTTGTGGCTTTGCTGAATGCCATTGGGTGTTAAGACAGACAGTGTCTGCTGTCCCTCCCTTTCCTCAGTCCAGCTTTTCAAGCAGATTTTTCATTGTTTCCAGAGTCCTCATCGAGAAGATGATGAGCAATTCCAGGGAAGATACGTCTCTGTCCACCCAGGGGAACTACATCAACCTACAAAGCAAGCCCTCCTCCTCTTGGGGCTGCTGCTAGGAGGAGTACGCTTGTTTTCCCTCCAGGTTCTAAGTCCTTCCCTTTGGTTGCCCACCCAGTGGTTTTATTAAGTGCATTTGAACTGCCTCCTGCTGACCGTCTAGTAAGGAGGGCCAGCGTCACGGAGAAAAGACACTTGGGACCCATGTGCATTTTTGCATCTCCTGCAACTAGGTTCTTAGTTGCTGCTGGCTCATGTGGCCAAGTTAGTGCCTTTTTTCTGTTTTTATTGAAGTTATTGGGGTGACACTGGTTAACAAAATGAAACAAGTTTCAGGTGCCTAATTCTACAACGCATCATCTGTACAGTTAGTGCCTTTTGTATAAGATCATCTCATTGCTCAATTTGTGATCTGGGGTTTTGTGGGAAGGATTACAAATCAGTATCTGTGTTTTAAGGATCATAATTCTCAGCTGCTTGTAAGCTTGTTTTGCCATCTGATGTATGTTGAGATATCAATCTGATATGACTTCAGATTGAAAGGAAAATGAGATCAAAGGTCATTTCCCAAATTCCTTCTCGGTCGTGGCTTTCAGATACTTTCTGTGCTGGACTTTTCATTTAAACACCTGATTCAGAAATGCAGGAGTGGAATTTGATATCTTTGGGTTTGGGGCTACTGGAGGTGACCCAAAAGTCACTGTATTTTTGAAGCTTCTAAAGTCATAATTAGCTTTCTCTTTTCTTGGCTTCAAGAACAGTCAAGCTTGCCCTGACCGATGCGGCTCAGTTGGCTAGAGCATCATCCTGTGCACCAGAAGTTCTCAAGTTCAGTTTCCGGTTAGGGCGCATGCCTAGGTTGTGAGTTTGGTCCCCACTCAGGGCACATGTAGGAGGGAAGAGGCCATCGATGTTTCTCTCTCTTTCTCTTTCTCTCTCCCTCCCTCCCTTCCTTCCTCTCTCTAAAAAAATACCAGTCAAGCTTTTAAACTGTCTTGTGTGATGGGAGCATTTCTTTCCACAAAGAAATTACTTCTCACATTATGGTGGTCTAATTGCCAGTAGGGTAGGGGCTGGGTTTACAGTTTCTGGGTTGATGTCTTCATGCATAATGCTCCAAGTGGTGCCCAGTTGTCTGTTTCTTGCAGCTCTGGGACTCCAAATGGGAGAAGAGGGAGAGGTTAATAGAAAAAAGCCTGTGGAGCAACTTGCTTATGAGTAATCTGGGTGGCTAGCACTTAACAGCCACAGGAAACAGATATTATGTACAGACCTTCGCTTGGGGTTGGGAGTAGATAGGAAATCATTAGCTAATTTAAGTGCTAAGTCAGGTAGGGTTTTTAGTATCAAATCACTTCTAGACAGTTTAATTTGTTAAATTCTCAAAGGATGGTGATTTATAACCTACCCAGAGTTGTGAATATTCTTAGTGAACTCAGAGGGCTAGAGTTCTTTGAGAGACACTTATCTAAAGTCTTAAGTCAATGGATCCCAAGCCCAACTGGTCATCTCTACCTTATATGTGGAATATAATGAACAAAATAAACTGACAAACAAAATAGATCCAGACACATGGAAACATGGAACAGACAGATCTTAGAGGGAACGGGGGGGCGGGAGGTGGAGGGTGGGAAGATATTAATCAAAGAACTTATATGCATGACCCTTGGACACAGACAAT